AAGACTGGCTTGCCTTTTGGTGCAAAAATAGATTTTTATTTCTCTCCAGCATTTCTTAATAAACTCAATCTCTTTAATTGGAATCCCGAGAAACACCTCTAGCATCTTTTTTTTTTGTTTTGTTTTTTTGTTTTTTGTTTTTTTGTTAATATGAAGCTGCTGGAGAAGAGAACGTTTTCAGTTAGATAAACTAAAGGACACAATCCTATTTTCTTATCAGGATAAATATGAAGCAGCACTAATATATTAAGCAACATGCAGAAACTGTCAGGACAGTCTATGAAATGCTTGTGACCATCAAGGGCAGGTATCACCTTTACAACTGGAAAGTCTGAACTGATGGAATTTAAGACTCAAAACTTCGAGTGCTTGATGTTAGGGAACAAAATATGAATTTAGGAATCGATATAAAGATATGATTTTCAAAGTCACATGGAACATAGGAAATGAGGTAGAAACAAAAACTACCATGACAGTCTCAAAAATTCATGTTAATTTTGGGGTTAAACTCCCAACATCAAAATCTCTTACTCCTGCAATTATTAGAGAATACGTTTGTGTTTTTCTTGCTGGTAAATCCACAAAGTTGTCTAACTTCAATATTCCTTCACTTTATCATACGCCCTTGACTAGTTTTTGGGCTATTATGAGAAAAACAGCATAGGTGTCTTAGCACTTATAACCCAAATAAATGTCATTAAACAAATCTGTATGTCATCTTTCTGGCCAACCTTTGAATTTCCTTTATATGAATTTTGACAGATGGTCTAGATCAAAATCAAAACTATAAAACCGAGTAACATGATGACTAAAAACTTCCTGTGTGCAAACCCTGATTAAATGGGCAGTTTTAATTGATTGCTGAGCGTAGTGTTGTTAATCTGGGGAACTCCAAAACTGAATTAACATTTTCTGCCCTACAGCAACAAGAAAGATTTAAAGCTGTTATAATCTGGTTTTCGTTCTTTTACTATAACCATCACAGCCTAGCACTGAATATGACAATAAAGCTGAAGGTAAAATAATTAGAACAATCTATTTGGGAAATTAGTCCTTTTCTCTGTTAATGATTTGCAAATCAGCAGATTGTGATTCTTGCACATTTCTTTGTGTGTTTGACATTCCCAGGTTTTAGGAACCTATTTGAGCTGTGGCTCATTCAGGACCTCTTTGTGGGAAACCTTGCAGCAATGAGTGCTGTTCAAACCAAGCTATTCAAGCTTTATGATTAAGTTGTCTCATATCCATGACCGGGTGACTTCATGTCTAAAATAACAACTCCCTGAACTCCCAAGATAATTTTTTTGCAGTGGTGAATTGTATTTTAAGCACTATAAAAGGCTCTGTAGGCACCTACATTTCACAGTTCCCAATCTTTCATATGAAACAGAAATTAGATTCTCCCATTTTTCGTAAAAAGTAAGTAAAAAAAGAAACCCAGAAAAGTCAGGTTGAAATATCATTGCTAATAGAGCACAGTGACAGAAACCAGGTCTTTATTAGCCTGTATCCAGCCATGCCCACTATACTGACATCTCAGGAAAGACATCTATATTATCATGGGGAAATCAATGAAGTTTACTGCTCAGTATGCAGTACCGCTCAATAACTCAAATAAAACCTGTGTCAGGCTGTGTTCGAAGGGTAACAGAAGAAAAATAATGGAGAAAAGTCAGTTGAATGTTGAAGGTATACACTGAGATTTTGAGATTCCTAGATTCAATTCCCAGCTCAGCCACAACCTTCCTCTGCAACCTTGTACAAATCGAAAGAAAGACTTATGAACATTAAGCAGGACTTAGGTGGGGTTTTATGTTGTGTAAATCCAAGACTTTGATCCTTAAAGCCATTTCTTGGTCTCATGGGAGTGGAAGATATAGACATTTTTAGGAGGAAAGGTCCCTTGGGACTTAGAGCTGTGGTTGGGTTAATGCCCAGCACAGCACCATCTTATGCCCCAGCATCGGCAGGATGCCCATTGTCTTAGTACTGCTTGGCATCTCATGAAATAAAGAGTAATTAACAGAAGTCATAAAAAAAACACAAAAATGCACCACATCTTTCTAGGAAAAAATGTTTTTGCCACTGTTTTGCGAAAATGACAAAATGTTGTGGCAGTTTTTGCTAAAATCAGTACAATTTAATGAAAAAGATCAGCTCAAAATGGCATTTCCTGAAATGACTCAATGCTGAAAGAAAACCTAATGAAATCTTTCAAATCTTAAAGGCACAGGAGCAGACCGTCCCCATGTGCCCAAAGATGAGCCGGCGGGGAATAAGATGGGCCTGGCTGAACAGAGAGCTTTGGCTGGCACTTAGGGAAAAAAGGAGAGTTTATGACCTTTGGAAGAAGGGGCAGGACACTCAGGAGGACTACAAGGATGACGTGAGGTTATGCAGGGAGAAAATTAGAAGGGGCAAAGCCCAACTAGAACTTAATCTGGCTACTGCCATGAAAGACAATAACAAATGTTTCTATAAATACATTAGCAACCAAAGGAGGGCTAAGGAGAATCTCCATCCTTTATTGGATGTGGGGGGAAACATAGTGACAAAGGATGAGGGCAAGGCTGAGGTACTTAATGCCTTCTTCGCCTCAGTCTTTAATAGTAAGACCAGTTGTTCTCCGGGAACCCATCCCCCTGAGTTGGTTGGAAGACAGGGATGGGGAGCAGAATGAAGCCCCCCTAATCCAAGGGGAAATGCTTAGCAACCTGCTACGCCACTTAGACACACACAAGTCTATGGGGCCGGAAGTGCTCCCAAAGCCACTTTCAATCCTTTAACAGCAGTCCTAGCTAACCGGGGAGGTCCCAGTTGGCTGGAGGTTAGCAAATGTGATGCCCATCTACAAGAAGGGCCAGAAAGAGGATCCAGGGAACTACAGGCCTGTCAGTCTGACCTCAGTGCTGGGGAATTTTATGGAGCAGATAATCTTGAGTGCTATCATGCGTCACGTTCAGGACAACCAGGTGATGAGGCCCAGCCAGCACGGGTTTATGAAAGGCAGGTCCTGCTTGACCAACCTGATCTCCTTCTATGACAAGGTGACCCACCTAGTGGGTGAGGGAAAGGCTGTGGATGTGGTCTACCTGGACTTCTGTAAAGCCTTTGACACCGTTTCCCACAGCATTCTCCTGGAGAAACTGGCTGCTCATGGCTTGGGCGGGTGTACTCTGCGCTGGGTAAAAAACTGGCTGGATGGCCGGGCCCAAAGAGTTGTGG